TAAAATTAACTTTAAAATACTCTGAATAATATTGTTTAAGGCTGGGCATGGCGGCTTATGCCTGTAATCCCAGTATCCTGGGAGGGCGGGAGGATCCTTTGAGCTCAGGAGTTTAACATTAGCCTGATCAAGAGCCAAGCCCCATTTGTACTACAAACAAACCAACAACAACAACAACAACAAAACATTAGCTGGGCGTTGTGGGCGCCTGTAGTCCCAGCTACTTGGGAGGCGGAGGCAGGAGGATCGCTCAAACCCAAAAGTCTGAGGTTGTGGTTAGCTAGGCTGATGCCATGGTACTCTGGCCCAGGCGACAGTGTGAGACAATGTCTGTCTCTCTCTCTCTCTCTCTATCTATCTATTTATATATGTAATATGTATGTGGTATATATATAATATATATTTTTTAAGTTATAAATGTTACTGAGAGTAAATTGGAGTGTGGCATTATAATCTAGCAAAATTGCTTGGTTTACCATTCAAAGCAGAATAAACAGATAACTCCAGAAGTTTTAAAATAAGAATTGTGAGGTTCTAGTTGGGACCCCCTTCATCTTGGCTTTCCGGCTGTAGGAGGAAAACTTGGAACTTGTCAAACTCCAAAGACCCTCTGAGGGGAGAGTGACATGTTCAGGGTTATTCTTGGTATCAGTGAAGTCCTGGTAGCTTCACCTCTTCTCATACTTGTGGGAATTATAAATTTTATGAGATGCTCATCTGTTTTGGGGAAAACTGAAATAAGGAGCTGCTAAGACCCTGAGGACTCGGAGTCAGGGTGAGAGGGCTGGGGAGGATCGGACTGAACTACTTTTCTACACTCATTGTAACCCCCGTTCCTGGACGTGAGGTCCTTGGCTCCTCAGGACAATTGGCCTTTTTCTTGTCTTCCTTGGATCTTCCCAGCCATCAGCCCCACAGTTCCACTAAGGAAAACAAAAACAAATCCCCCAAAGTCCCAAACTACTTGTTTGCCATTTGTTGCCAAGGACTCTGTTTCTCTTAAGAGCTTGAAGTTTGACCTTGAAAAACAAAGCCTTTGTCTCAACCCTGTCCATCATTATTATATTTGATGAGTTTTCAGAAACTGAAGTCTTTTATCCCAGGAACAGTTTGAGGGTGTGGAAGGTGAGTTACTGCAGCCTTGATTGGTTGAAAGTACATGTGCTGAGTGCTTGTCCCCCGAGTTCTGCCAAAGGAACTCTGCTGGTGCTGGCCACTGGTCCACCAGGACCTTCTGGACTAATACTAACTGCCTGTTTTCTTTGCCCTTTGTTGGTAACAATGAACAGATGTGCTTATCAGACTCCTCTGGTTTTTATGTATTTATTGGCCCTTCCCTCCCTTCTGCTTATTCCTTTTTCTCATTACATTGTCTGGAAAGCTTCTGATGTTTTTCTCATTTTGCTGACCAGCAACATTGAACTTCATGATTTTGTGACAATAGTCATCCAGACTCCTGCCCTTTCACTGCCCTCCGCTGACCTGTTTCTGAATTTCAGTTATTACTGCTTTGAAAAAAATGAGCAGAGAGCTAGGCTGACTCTAAGGCAGTGGTTCTCAACCTTCCTGATGCCATGACCCTTTCATATAGTTCCTCATGTTGTGGTGACCTCTCAATCATAAAATTATTTTTGTTGCTACTTCATAACTATAATTTTGCTACTGTTATGAATTATAAAGTAAATATCTGATATGCAGGATGTATTTTCATTGTTACACAGGGGTCGCCAACGGGCTATGAGGACGACACAGCAGCACTGAGTGTTCTGACAGTCCCCAGATCCATTCTGGGTTCCACTGCGACCTCTTTCAGGTCAGGTGGTTTCAGGGGTGGAGCAGGGATTGGGGGGACATCAAAAAGGAAGGCAGGAGTTTATGGAATTCAGTCAAAATATGCTGCTTGTAGGAGTCTAAATTACTCCAAGTAGATTTCATAAACTTGGCTTAGAAGTGAGTTACCAAAATGATATACTAAAAGAAAAATAAAAGCCTCATTGACATTGTAGCCAAGTGGACTTCTGGTTCTCCTGGGGAGAGCAATGTGGACCTGTAACTGCTGGTTTCATTCTCCTTCACCTGCTCCCAGGCGCACGGCTACCCACAGGCTTCTGGTGCAAAGGGGATGAATGCTCCTCTGCAATTTTGTTCTTCTTTTAAATAGGTAACAATTATTTGTTTCCTAAGAACTCTGCTTACTCTCAGAAGAATGTGGAAAAGGCTGATGGTATACTTAAAAAATATTTTCAACCAACAGCTTTGGTAACCACAGGGTAAGATGAAATATTCTATATTCTTTCTTTTGAATAAAGATAGTCCTGTTGGGAAGAAATGCCGCAGGAATCTCCCAAGACATAAAAATATGTGGATTAAGATCTTGAAGTAGGCTGGAGGTAGCATTCCAAAAGATTTGTCCGTCTCTTGGAACTAGTGACTATGACCTTATTTGGAATAAAGGTCTTTGTAGATGAAACAAAGTGAAGATTTTGATGAGACAGCATTCTAAATTGCCCAGGTAAACCTGAAATCCAACGGCGACTGTCCTTAGAAGGGAGACAGGAGAAAGGCTTATGAAGACAGAGGCAGAGGCTGGAAGTCAGAGCCACCAGCCAAGAACTGACTGGAGCCATTGGCGGCTGAAGAAGTGAGGGAGGAAGGACCCTCCCCAAGTCTTAAAGGCACTGAGCCCCGCCAACACCTTGATTCAGACTTCTAGCCTTCAGTACTATTAGAGAATAAGTTTCTGTTGTTCTAAGCCACCACATTCATGGTAATTTGTTATAGCAGTTCTAGGAAGCAAATACAGATAGCTTCCATTAAAACACTAGCATTTCAGGATGTACAACTCTCTTCAAGGAATAGAAATAGCATTTGTTTAGTATTAGTGTGGCTGCCAATAGTTAGGTATTTAACATAAATTATCCCATTTTAAAGATGGAGAAACTGAGGGGCCTAGGTCTCATGATGACCATAGGGGAGCTGGGCAAGAGTCCGGCAGAGAGGTGATGTGGTCGAGCAGCTGCTGGCTAGGCTCTGGGTCCTGTCTTGGTCTGTCCTTACTCATTCTGTGACCCTGGTTAAGTTATTCAACCATTCTGGCCTTCAATTTCCCCAACTACAAAATAGGAATGGTAACAGAACTTCATACAACTGGGAAGATTAGGAAGTATAAAACATTCAGAATAATATCTAGGAAGGGCTAAATGAATGTCAGCTACCATGTTTCCCTGAAAATAAGACCTGCCCCCCATATAAGCCCTAGCAGGATTTCTATGCATTTGTTAAATATAAGCCCTACCCTGGTAATAAGACCTAATGATGGGTGTGGCTATGCAGCACATCTCTGCATTTTGGCACAGAGAGGAAGACATCCCCTGAAAACAAGCCCTAGTGTGTCTACTTGAGAAAAAATAAATATAAGACAGTCTCTTATTTTCAGGAGAACACGGTACTATGATTACTACCACACTATACTAATATACAATTGACAGATTATGAATGCCCAAGAATAAAAGGGAATGGGATCATTTTAAAGCAGAGCATGTGGCCCGTATTAAATTAGAAACCAGTTTTACAGAGATTATTCTTCAGAATTTATTCAGTTCTGATATGGCTATCACAAAGGAGACAAGGCCTCAGCAGTCTTGGTACTAATTGCTTTTTGCTGAGTATCTTACACAAGTTCAGAACTGTATGGGGTGGCTCACCCTGTAACCCTAGCAGTCTGGGAGGCCAAGGAGGGAGGATCACTTGAGCCCATGTATTTGAGGCTGCAACGAGCTATAATGATGTCACTGCACTCCAGCCTGAGCAACAGAGACAGACCCTGCCTCAAACCACAAAACAAAACAAAACTATAATAAGCCCTTTAAATATATTACCTCATTTCAAAGATGTGGAAACCGAGGCTCAGTAAGTTTCATCCCATGCATATTTTCAGAAGCCCAGGAAGAATCAAACTTGGATTCAACCCTAGGATGCTGTCATTCACACCACACTGCTTCCTAAACAGTGTTTTACAAATGCTAGGCAGCCAACAAGTATTTTTTGAATTAGTAAAATCAAACCTCCTTATCAATAATTTTAAGGTAATATGGAGCTTCCCAAAATATTTTGAAGTGAAGAAACAGTTGCCAACCATTTCAGAGGCTTAAATTTCCTAAAACATTGTAGCAAAAAAGGGAAGGGTTAGGAAACAACCATTCACAAGACAAATTTACTTCTTTGTGTCCATGCACTTCTTTTTTTCCACTGGCTGACTGGTCACTGATCCTATTACAACAGACTGAGCAAAAAGGAGCAGGGAGCTAGTGGTATCCAGGGATTTATTTTGTAAAATCTATTTCCTTTTCTTTCTTTCTTGAAAATAAAAGAAACAAAAAAATAATGCTCTATTATGAACACTGATCATTCTCACTTTCATTATTAACATTCTTTGGAACCAATGTTTTCATTTTACCATACTTCCTTTTAATTTGTCCAACCTAGTTAATGAAATGCTTATTAAAATATGTATAAATCCTTTTCTTGTACCCAAGGTCTCCAGGATAAGATGCTGTTCCATTTAAATAAAAGATGAAGGATATTGAAACAGAAGCCGCCTTTAACCAGCAGACCCATAAATAAGGCAGTAGTTGGTGCTTTGCAAGTCTCACATTGGCACTTGTACTGGGATCACCTTCTTCCACACCAGTGGTTCTTAACCTAAAGGTCAAGGACGTGGGGGGAGGGTGGCAGCTACGAGTCCCTTGCAATGTAGGGAACTTCTGCACACATTTCAAAGGAGGCTGTGAGTTAAGACCACTGTTTCAAGACCTAATTACTAAAGCTAATTGCCACATTTTACTTCTTAGTATCATCTTAGTCAACATAGTATCCAGTATAAATAGTTGCATTTCCTTATGAAAGAACTAGAAGCTTCACCTTGTTAAAGAAGTCAACTTGAAATCAAAGGGGTTAGAGTTTTACAAGCAAGTCTCCATGGTATTATCAAAAGGAATTACCTGCCCAGGAGGGTCCAGGTCTTGCTCCTTCACAAAAGGGTCCTTGCTGGTTACTTTTCCTCTCTCGGTTGCTGTTTCTTCATCTGTGAAATAGATATTTGAATTAAATAAACCCAAAGATATCCTCAAACTTCAAAACAATCTTGTCCCATGTAAAAAGGTCATTAAACCACTTAGACTAATTATTTTCCACAAAAGTCAAGAATGTATTATCAAAATCAGGCAGGGCAAAGTAGCCTGATTTTAAGAATTATTTTTAGAGAAGGCCACAGTTGGAGGACACACCACTGGCTAGTGATTTTCCCAGCTGCACTCTGACAACTGTAAGATGCCACAGGTGCCAGGTTGGGGGAGACCCGAGTGGGACAGAGAGAACCTGGAGTCTCCATTTTCTCTCTCTCTCTCTCTCTCTTTCTCTTTTTTTGAGCCTCCTGCTTTCCATGTTGGGTTTCTGGGTGAGATTTTGTTTGTAGAAAATATTTCTTGACTTTAATGAGTCTCTATTAATATGAATGGGGTGAGGGGAGGGAGGAAAAGGAGAGTCGGTTAATCCCTATGTTAAAAGATTTGTCTTTAAAAATACATTGGATACAGCCAGGCACTGTGACTCACTCTGCGAGGCTGAGGCAGGAGCGTTGCTTGAGCTCAGGAGTTCCAGACCATCCTGAGCAAGAGAAAGACCTCCATCTCTTCCAAAAATAGAAAGAGTGAGACTCTGCCTCTTCAAAAAATACAAAAATTAGCCAGGCACAGTTGTATGCACCTGTAGTCACAGCTAATTGGGAGGCTGAGGCAGGAGGACTGTGTGAGCCCAGGAGTTTGAGATTGCTGTGAGCTATGATGATGCCACTGCCCAGGAGATAGAGCAGGACCCTGTCTCAAAAAACAGCTAAGGGAATTTTTCCCCACTTCGAGTTCCTTATACACCAATAGAGTCATGATAGTGTTGACAAATAAACAAATGATCCAATATTCTTTTCTATTTATAGAACTAGGGTGCCACAGAGATGCTAAAAGGGGCCATAGCTGGTGGTGTGATCAGCATCCTTCCAGCTGTTACAAACGGTTCCTCCAGCAAGCTGCACTCGTCCATAGACGGCTAGAGGAAAAGGTCTAGGGGCTTCCTATGGGAAACACCGAGAGATCTGCGGGGAGGAAAGTGTCAGGGAGGTCTTAAGAGACCTGGAAGGTCTTCAACGATGGAGGAGAAGGTTCAGAACTGTTTGATTGCTTGTGGAGGTGGGACTTAGGAAAAACTTTAAATAATAAAAGCTGTACGAAGAGGAATGGGTTGCCCAGCGTGGTAGCACAAACTCTATAGGAAAATTATTCAAGCAGAGACTAGAAAGTCTCTTCTGAGGGTTTGCTATGAAGCAGGAGGCAGTTTCTAAGAAGAGATTACTAATATTTCCCCAATCCTAAGATGGTATTTCTCTAGTAGAATTAAATATCCCATTGGAGAAGCATTTGCTTTGTTAAACATTTTTTTTTGACATAACAAAAAAGTGTGGGCTTTGAAATTGGCAAACTGGATATTCAGGATGTCGTTCAACCTCCCTGAACACCACTTGGGTCATCAGTAACATGGAGATCATTAATTATTTCTGAGTTGTTGTGGAGATTAAACCACACAGCATTGGTGAAGGCTCCTTAGCCACACATGGTCTCACTCACGGTATAGACTAGCAAACTGTTAGCACACTGATTTCTTTCTCTTAGTTTTTTCATGTTTTTATTTCCTCTTATCTAAGAGATTCATTCTAGGTGACTGTATCAAACTCTTTCAGTTGATATAATGTGATATATATCACATGATATAAATGGATAAAAGGGTTTTCCCCCTGAGTCTTGGAGGAAGAATTCACCCGGAAGGAAGTTGGTAGGTTCCCATGGAGTCCTTATCACCGATTTCGTGTTTGTAGTGATGTTTGCTTCCTCCTAACTAGAGCAAACCTGTGGAACCACTTTTTCTTTTGTCCTAAATTATGACTGGTTTCCCTGCCCATCAAAACCAGAACTAGGCCAAGCTGATTGGTTATTTTCTTTGTTTAAAGTTTTAGGCAATAACATACACCATTAAAATTTTAAGGCCCAAGCTCTGCTGTGGCGGCGACATGGTATTGGCAGCCGTGAGCAGCGAGAAGAGCTGGTCACTGAAATACTCCATGTAGTTAAGTATTTCTTCTGTGCCTGATTTGTCTACCAATAAAGAAAACCTAAGTCAATTTTACTTAAGAATTTCTATTCAACGGATGAGTTAATAAAGGAGAAGCTGTTTGCTATTCTTAGAAGATCAAGCACATGAGATCATATTCTCTCAAACACACTGCTGCCAAATATTAAGTGGGACTTTTCCAGTTCACCTGCTCTGAACTAAGTAAGCCGGCAACGTACTTCCCCCGCCCCACCTCCCTGGACAACCCTCCCTTCCGTAAATAGAGTTCCCCTTAGATGTTACACGTTTTTCTCTCTGTTCCTTAACTATTTTTATTATATTTTCCTTAAAAAGATTTGCACACTACAGCCTTAACGCTTCTACGATTCTTCCCGAGAACCCACACATATCAGAATTGATTAAAAAGAAATTTTATAAGCAAGAAACAAATTAGAATCTACAGCTAATCAAAATCAATCAGCGCTCCAGTGGGGAGGATCAAGTCATAGCTTGTAAAGAGTTTCCTTTTTTACGATTACAGATAACTAGATTAATAGGATGCATGGCCAGACTGTGAAATAACTTATTTAAAGCCTTATAAAAGAAACTAGGGCTGTTTAGCATGTATTATTTACAAGGGCCATGAAAACTGAAGTAAGCACTGCCCACAGCATCTAGATTAGTGAGTTGTAGTGATATTATGTTTGATTATAAATGGAGAGCTTGGGCCAGAGTCATAGGAAGTTGTTGAATTTTTCTCTTGAAGCTTTGCACTGTATGATACCGATAGTAATATTCATAACTGTATATCTCTTTGCATTATTTACAAACATACATATGACAAAGGCACTACTATGCACACATGTGTATCTACTATGTATATTTTAAGTTTAAAAGTAGCCTTAAAATGGGAAACATTGTAACATTTATGTTACAATTTTTAGATAGTTGTGTTCCTTAGAGTTTACGCTTGATAAGGACTAGATCAGAAGGCTTTTTATTTATTCCTAAATTTTGTTTTCATTACGTTGGTAAGTAACATGTTTGACTCCAAAGCTTTTAGAGAAGAGCAAAAGTAAAATGTGTGGGAAAAACATTTCTTTAACTTTTAAAATCACTAAGGAGATACAGTTCTGTATGATGTGACAAATAGTGCTTTTCCCTCAATAGTAAAAATGCTTTAAGATTTGTTTCTAAGGGCTCGGCGCCTATAGCTCAACCGGCTAAGGCGCCAGCCACGTACACCTAAAGTGGCAGGTTCGAATCCCCAGCCCGGACCCGCCAAACAACAATGACGGCTGCAACCAAAAAATAGCCGGGTGTTGTGGC